TTCATACACCATGCCCCTCAGAGTGCAGAACAGAATAAGATAGCATTAGCATTGTTATTCATCTGTGTTTCCATATTCGAAAACAATATAGGAATATGGCAAGAGAAAACTTGGTACACACAGAGAGACACACACACACAGAGAGACACACATACAGAGACACACACAAAAACAAATGCAAACTTGGTCCATATTCTTTAAAATGATAGAGATATAGATATTCAATTCAATTCAATGCATACACAGACACACCCACTCTCTAACACACACACACACACACACATTAACAAACACACACAGAACACACACACACCCACTCTCTCTGACACACACACAAAAGCAAACACAAACTTGGTCCATACTCTGTAAAATTATAGAAATATAAAGAGTCAATTCAATACACACACAGACACACCCACTCTCTAACACACATACACATTAACACACACACACATTAACACACACGCACCTGGTCCATATTTCAAAAGAATAAGGATATACAAATAGAAAATGCAATACACTCTCTCTCTCTTTCCTTCTCTCTCTCACACACAAACACACACACACACACACACACAAAACACACACACTTTAACAATAATATTCAACTTAAAATGATGTAATACCGTCAGTTTAAGCAGACATGGACACTACACTCACTCAGACTCTGAATAACAGTATTTTTCAGACGCCTCCGGATGCTCCTGAATCTACACACACACACACACACATCTACATGCATTAAATCACAACATACACACGTCCCATGACATGCCTTACAGACCTTTACAACTACACAACCTGCCACAACAAGGCCTTTTTTTCAAACCAATATTTCTCAAGGCTGCGCTGCGTAAAACTTCCAAATATTTTCACTCCAAACCCCAATACATAATAGCAAAATAAATAAAGGCCTTCACGCTGTCGTTGAGTCCAATGAACCGAGACTTTATGCAAATCCAGATGCAAACACGTCTCTATGTAGTTTCCCTGCGATGTTATACACTAGATATACTGCAGGCAACACGCAACAGTTGTCATAAAGTCATAATAAAGTCGTTTTGAGATTGCCACATATACAAACTATTTCAATATTGCCTCTTCAGGATTCAGGCTACAGCTGCACACACACACACACAGACACACACGCGCGCACACAAACATCCTTATCATTCAATGCAGGGAACGCCTTGCTTTAAACTTGACTTGTTTCTCTAAACTAGACCATAAATCCCATGTTTAAATACTAGTGTGTGTGTGTGTGTGTGTGTGTGTGTGTGTGCAATCAGCAGTGAGCAGTAACTGTAACTAATTTGACTCTGGCTTAGAATAGCTTTTGGGTGTACAGTATAAGCGTATCCCCGCGTCAGTCTTGACTCTCTAGTCTACTGTACTCTAGAATCTATAAGAAAGTGGGAATTATCAACAGGCAGGACATAAAAACATGCAACACAGACTTTACAACAGACCTGAGCTTCTTCCTCATCCAAAACAAGCGAGAAACATGTTGCAAATCAGGCGCGTATGTGGATAAACCCCGCGCGTAAAGGAGAATAGAGTAGAATGTGCGTGTGTGTGTGTGTGTGTGCAGGTATGTGTGCGTGCGTGTGTGTGTGTGCGTGTGTGTGTATGTGTGTATATGGGGCTATAGTAGGGCTTTACCTTACCCCAGTGTGCCTGTGTCCTCAGTTGTCCTCTCGCTCTGGTTTCCTCCCTCGGACCGTCGGGGCTAAAATGTCTGCCTCGGCCTCTCTCCGGATCTCACCACAGCGCCACCAGAGCGCACCATGCTGTATAAAAAAATAAAAAAAATAAAACACAATTGAAAATAGAAAAATTTACATTGAGACAAATAATTAATCAAAAATAGCGCGATATGAGACGCGCGCGCTGTACGGATATGATGCTTTTTATTTTGGGACGTGGAAGTTTTTTGTTTTGTGCGCGCGTGTGTGTGTTGGGGAGATGGGACATTAAAGATGGTTGCTCTCTCCCTCCCTCCCCTCACCTCCACCCCCCATCAACAACCAACACACCCCCCTGTCTCTCTCTCTCTGTCTCTCTCTGGTCTCTCTCTCCTCTCTCTATCTTTCATATATATTATAGGCCAATCTCTTAAGTTTTACGCACACGTGTATAGCGGTGTTGTGTTGGGTTGTATAGCGAGTGTGTGGTGCTGTGTGTTGCTAGGAACTGGAGGGTGTCATAAAGAAAGGGGGAGAGGTTGTAGATGCAGAGACAGATGCAGCTCTCTCGCCGATTTGGAGCACTTGAGTTCACGCGTTCGAGGGTTTTGGAAACAGTCAAGAGGAGTCGGTTAGGGTGGTGCGACTTCCGGTTTGGGGTTGTCAAAATAAAAGAGGTCGCGAAGGATTGGATTGACCCGTGATGTAAAACTGTACAAGATTTGATAAGGAATGGTTTCATGGATGTACATTTTTTAATGGCATAATAGAAAACATAACAGACTTGTACATGGTTTGCCTAAAAGGATTGGATGACACAACAAAATATGTTAATCTGAGGCCAGAGAGAGAGAGAACAGGGAGGGACCAGAGAGAGACCAGAAAGAGAGACCAGAGAGACCAGAGAGAGACTACAGAGAGACCAGAGAGAGAGACCAGAGAGAGACCAGAGAGAGACCAGAAAGAGAGACCAGAGAGACCAGAGAGAGACTACAGAGAGACCAGAGAGAGAGACCAGAGAGAGACCAGAGAGAGAACAGGGAGAAAGAGAACAGGGAGGGACCAGAGAGAGAGAGAGAACAAGGAGGGACCAGAGAGAGACCAGAAAGAGAGACCAGAGAGAGACTAGAGAGAGACCAGAGAGACTGGAGAGGGGCCAAATAGAGACCAGAAAGAGAGATCAGAAAGAGAGTCTAGAGAAAGACTAGAAAGAGACCAGAGAGAGATCAGAGAGAGACCAGAGAGAGATCAGAGAGAGAGACCAGAGAGAGACCAGAGAGAGAGACCAGAGAGAGACCAGAGAGAGACTAGAGAGTAAGACCAGAGTAAGACCAGAGAGAGACCAGAGAGACCGGAGTGGGGCCAAAAAGAGACCAGAGAGAGATCAGAAAGAGAGTCCAGAGAAAGACTAGAGAGAGACCAGAGAGAGACTAGAGAGACCAGAGGGAGACTAGAGAGAGACTGAAAGAGACCAGAAAAAAAAGCACCAGATTTAGACGCAGACTAGTTTCCATCAGGATCCTGTGACAGGTTGATTTTGTGATATTTCTCCATCATGTTTTTCTGCTGTTTGTATATTCTCCCACTGCTCACATCCAAACTGCTCAGTATGAATAGTTTGATCTGTGATTTCATAGTCTGTAAATGTGAAATGCTGTCAGATGAAAACCCCCAAAGTGTCAGTGTGGGTTAGGAGCAGTGCTAATTACAGGATTACAGCTGCTTGTTAACACCTGGCAGATGGCGGGTTAGCTCAATGCTCCTCACATTTTATCGTTAGGCAGATTAGAATTGAGTTGAAATGAATTGAAGTCTTTTCACTGGATTTTTCTGTTACTCACATGAAACAGGATTTATTTTATATTTTCAAGAAAAAGAGATGTATGTAGTTAATATGAAGGTGATTCAATCTCTGTCTTTCTGTGTGGAATATTATCATCGTGTTAGGATGTCGCGTTTGTGCTCCCCTCTCTTCCTGTTTTGCATGTGTGTGACAGGGGGCGTGGCAGGGGGCGTGGCTAGAATTACCTGTGATGAAGACAAGCAACACCTGCCAGCAAGGGTGTCCAAACCGGTCCAGAAAGGGCCGCTGTGGCTGCAGGTGTTCTATCAAACACAACAGGAGCAGAGAAGACTCCACCCATTTCCTCAAATCTTCAGGTTAAGACTGAACTCTCTTGATGAAATGGGAGGAGTCTGTTCTGCTCCTGTTTGGTATGATAGAAAACCATAGACTGTATATATTTACGGACGTATATAGTCACACCTATCTCCGCCGTTCTAACTAATGGGCCAAAAATTGGGCTCTCATGGAGTGATTCAAAATGGCCGCGGGGGCTGGAAAATGTGAAAAAAAAAACATCTGCGCATGCGTCAGCCGGCACGAGCTCCATTCATTTAAACGAGGGACTTCAAAAATTCACAGCGAGTAAACTAGTGGACCAAAACACCTCCCTCAGCATTGACACACATGTGGAACGGAGCTTTGGGCCAAGAGCCAACTTTTGGTCCATCCTGTAAGACGTTTTCGAGAGGTAAGAAGATGCTATATGTTAGCATTGGCTAATTCTTATTCCGGGTCCACCCCCATCGGCCCGGGGTGGTATTGCAGCATGTCAGCGCACGTCATTTTGGCCACTTTTGAGCCGGGACCCGCCCCCAATGTAGAAAACCTGCAGCCACAGCGGCCCTTTCTGGACCGGTTTGGACACCCCTGGATAAAGAGACAAGAGAGAGATAGTTGAGGAGACCAAAGAGAGAGAGAGAGAGAACGAGACCAGAGAGAGACCAGAGACCAGGGAAAAAGCACAGAGAGAAAGCAGAGAGAGAGCAGGAAGAGACCAGAGAGAGAGACCAGAGAGACGTGCACAGGAACTCTCCATATATCCATCCATCCATCCATTTTCTTCCCCTTAATCCATTTCTGGGTCGGGGGGGTGGCAGTCAGAGCTGCACCCAGTCCACTTAGCACCAGCCCCTCACTGATCCTCCTGCAGGTGGTGAGTCCACAGGAGCTGAGATCTTTCAGTGGGAGCTTCAGGCAAAGTGGGGTTAAGTGTCTTGCCCAAGGACACAACGACAGCAATCATCAGTGGGAGTCGTGAAGTAAGTCTTATGGTGGGCTTGAACCCACAACCTTCAGGCCCAAAGGCCAATGCTCTACCAACTGAGCTACTGTCGCCCCACTCTCCATATAACAATAAATAAACTTGGTCAGATTTTCAGGTCATAATGTTTTCTTTCTCTCTTATATCTCTTATATCACACTGGTGCAAACAACTTAATACTAATATCCAACATCTGGTCCATCCACATTCAGGGGCTTCTGATTCTTTTATTGTGAAACGTCGCTCGGCTCTTCCCGCTCTGCGTCACCGTGGACTTGACTGCGCGCATAACGGATGTGTGTTGTGGCTCCACGGCACCGCCCTCTTCCACGGGGGAGGAGCAGAGCGACCTGGGTTTAAGGACAGCGGGAGGACTGAGGCTGTGAACCCGGTGACCCGAGCTCGTTCCCCCGGACTGTTTCAGTGAGGAGCACCGCTGTTTGGCTGCGCTCCACGGGCCTTTACCTTAACAACAGCACATTACGCACGTTACGCACATTACGCACAGGTTCCAGAGAAGCAGGTTGACTTTTCAAGTGAAGCAACGAAAAAAAGCTTACATAATAAAGTGAGAATGAGTGGAAGGAAAGAGTTTGGAGTAGTTTTATGACAGTATAGTAGTAGTAGTAGTAGTAGTAGTAGTAGTAGTAATTGTAGTACTGCCTTTATGCCAAACTTTTATATTATTTATGAATACAGCATAACATAAAACTAACATATACTAACGATACAGAAGCACACCTCGAACAGAAAGGGCACACTTTAGTCTAGCCCTAATTAATTAACAACTAATTAATGTAAAGGGGAATCCGAGCGAGAATGAGCGGAATTTGAGTGGGTTATTTATTATTTTTATGTTTTTACTCTTATGTAACTTAAACTTAACTTCCTGTTTCTTGCCATGTTTATGTTTACAGTATGTAACGAACGAAAACGATTTAAAAGCCTTGCAGAGCTTTTCCTGGACTCCATTTTTCACAGATCACAAAGATAAGAGAAAGATATACACAAAATGTAATGTATTGGTGATGTGTGTGTGTGTGTTTGTGTTTCTTGTGTGTGTGTGTGTTTCTTGTGTGCGTGTGTGTTTCTTGTGTGTGTGTGTTTTGTGTGTGTGTGTGTCCTTGCCTCCATATGTGTGTAATCAGCACATATAAACACAACCTTTCCGTGTCTTTCCAACACATTATTTATTGTTCTTTGCCTCATTCCAAAACAAAACCTGCAAAGATCGTTACCATGTAGGACACACTTTAGGGTCTCTCTCTCTGGTCCCTCTCTCGGGTCTCTCTCTGGTCTCTCTCTCGTCTCTCTCTCTTTCTCTCTGCTCTTTCTCTAGTCCCTCTCTCTGTTCTCTTTCTGTATGGTCTCTCTCTCCGGCCTCTCTCTCTCTGTTCTCTTTCTCTCTCTGGTCTCTCTCTTTTCTCTTTCTCTCTCTCTCTGGTCTATCTCTCTGTTCTCTTTCTCTCTCTGGCCTCTCTCTCTGTTCTTTCTCTCTCTGATCTCTCTCTCTCTGTTCTCTCTCTCTCTGGTCTCTCTCTCTCTGCAGCACATCGTAAACATATAGAACCTCCATACAAAAAATCTGGAGCGAGAAACCTACATCCTTTTTGATCTTTCTTTAATACACTTTAGCGTTTGCGTCGGAGGATTAAAAAACGTGTGAGCCGCAGCCGCCGCTAACACAAAACAAAATGTAGGACACACAATCAGCTTAAATACCATAAATGCAAAACCAGCTCTCTCTATAAGCCCCGACGTCGGCATAACGTCTGTGCGCGGCTGTCGGCTTAAATCACCCTGGAGCACACGCTGAAAATCCTGCAGGTGTGGTTTGAAACGCTCGACACATGACACGGAATTTAGGCAGAAATGTCATTTACGAGATTATCTGTTGTTACGACTTCAGCTGTGGTCTGTTCATTGCTATTCACCCGCTGTTCCTTTGTGTGTGTCATGATGATGGGGTCCCTGAAGCCGGTCTTGGAGCTCAGAGTTCTACGTTTTCGTTAATGTCGCACATTGAAGCTGACAAGGACAGAGAAGACGTCCCAAAGCGTCAGTGCAAAAACAGTAAAGTGCAACAGTTTTTATAAAGTGCCAGATTTCATGACGGTCAACTAAGAGCAGAGCATCTTGATCCGTGAAGCTCTTTGAAAATAATGTAATTCCACGTGAACGCACATCCCAAATGTTTAATACTAAAGATAGTTCACCTCAAACATCTTTTGAAATCTTTGTTCATAAAGTATAAAGATGATGACATCACAATATGCAAATTCGACGACAAATCAACTTCCAGCCCACATTTTGTTTCATAGTGAACATATTTCTCATTCACAAAATGCCCTTTTGTTTTTTTTTTAAACCACTTTCAAGTTTTAGCTTTTGGAAATTTTGATTTTCTAGAAAAAACTTGACGTTTCTGGACAGTGGTCATTCTGTTTCCTATGGACCAATGGCTCCAATGTGTTTGTCATTACTGTATCTCCTGTGTTCCAACCGACGACTGCTTGTTGTGGAATTTATGATTCTTGCTTTTATTCTTAACTTCATGAGGCTTTACATTTCATGTCATTTACCAACACTAGAATTGAATACTACAGATATTCTGGATGATTAGTTTATGTTTCAATCCAGTTTCACTTTAGAACAATGCAAACAGTGAATGTTTCAATTTAAAACAAAGAACAGAGACACGTGTAAATAAAACTGTAATAAAATATAAAAACGACATTGGTCATATGCACAGCTACGGTCAGTATTTATGATCCATATTTTATAGTTTTTCTGAACATATGTTACCTTCCAGAGCTCCGTGACTGTCCGGCCCGAGAGTTCTTCCTCAGGGACTCTTGGAGCTTTTCCAAAACAAAGAAGTACAGACTCTGGGACAAGCTTCTGTTGTTCAAACTCCTGTGGACGTTGGTTCATCCGACCGTTCTGAACAACGACCATTTTATTACCTTATGACCCAACTGAGGAGCACAGGGACTGGTCTCCTGCTGGGACTTTGAGGAGCACAGGGACTGGTCTCCTGCTGGTCCCAGAGTCTGGACTAAACATGGAGAGGCAGCCTTTCATAATCAACAATAAGGTTTTGTTGTTTGTTTTTAAAGCGTTAAACGGACTGGCCCCTCAGTACGTCACAGACCTCATTGAAGTCTACGCCCCAACGTGCGCTCTGAGGTCTGAGGGCCAGCTCCAGCTCGTGGTTCCTAAGACGAAACGTAAAACTCGAGGGGACAGAGCGTTCTCCGTCATCGGCCCTAAGCTGTGGAACGCTCTGCCCCTCCACGTCCGAACAGCCACAACATTGGAGTGTTTTAAATCTCGTCTTAAAACCCACTTCTCTAGCTTTTAACACCGCGTGAGTTGTGTGGTCCCTGTGTCTTTTTAATTTTTGTTTTGTGTTTTATGATTTTTATTGATTTTATAAATTGACTATTTATTTATTTATTTTTTATTCTATTTTTTGTGTACTTTTTTGTGCAGCACTTTGGAACTGTTCTGTTGTTTAAATGTGCTATAGAAATAAAGTGGATTGGATTGGATTGGATAATCATACAGCTAAAACCTTAATGTGAGTCAGGACTCTGGTCTCTTTCTGGTCTCTCTCTGGTCCCTCTCTGGTCCCTCTCTGGTCTCTCTCTGGTCCCTCTCTGGTCCCTCTCTGGTCTCTCGCTGGTCTCTCTCTGGTCTCTCTCTGGTCTCTCTCTGGTCTCTCTCTGGTCTCTCTCTGGTCTCTCTCTGGTCTCTCTCTGGTCTCTCTCTGGTCTCTCTCTGGTCTCTCTCTGGTCTCTCTCTGGTCTCTCTCTAGTCTCTCTCTAGTCTCTCTCTAGTCTCTCTCTAGTCTCTCTCTAGTCTCTCTCTAGTCTCTCTCTAGTCTCTCTCTAGTCTCTCTAGTCTCTCTCTAGTCTCTCTCTGGTCTCTCTCTAGTCTCTCTCTAGTCTCTCTCTAGTCTCTCTCTAGTCTCTCTCTCTAGTCTCTCTCTGGTCTCTCTAGTCTCTCTCTGGTCTCGCTTTGGTGTCTCTCTCTCTGCTCTCTCTCTCTTTAAAACAATATTATCCAATGGGTCAAAGCAAAATGATCTTGTTTTAAAAAGATACAAGAAATGTCTTGCTTGGAATGAGAAAATAAAGCAACAGTTCTTGTAATAAGACGGTAAATGGCTTTGTCCCGTCGGAGAATATCATTTTCAGTTCTCAAATTAATATAAAAACCACTCAATCCAAGCAATTACCTCATATTTTATCTTTTTTATGCAGAATATGTGTTTGTTGTTATTCTATTTCCGGTGTAGAGTCCTGGGAGTGGCCTGCTGCTGTGATTGAGGCCTGCACAAAGTAAATGTAGTGCTTTGACCTCACATCAGTAGGAGCCTGTTGACTGCTGTTGTGTTCTTTAAGACTTGTTTTTGTTCCCACAGTGTCCTGACCTCACTTTCCTGTTTACACACGACACAGCCCTATATCTCAGCAGTCTATGGCGTCCACGCTCCGGGGTCGGATTGCAAACAGGTGCTACGCTAACACGCTAAAGCTCTGCCCTTGAATGACTTTAATGTTTATGTCAATCCTCAAGAAATATCCATGGATGTATTAAAGTTATGTTCATAGGGTCGGAATTAATGCGGTTTTTACTTACTGGTCCCTCTCTGCGCTCTCTCTCTGGTCTCTCTCTCTCTGGTCTGTGGCGGCATGGTGTCTGAGTGGGTAGCACTCTCGCCTCTCAGCAAGAAGCTCCTGGGTTCGAATCCCGGTTGGAATAGAGTCTTTCTGAGTGGAGTTTGCATGCTCTCCCCGTGCTTGCATAGCTTTCCTCCGGGTACTCCGGAGCACTAAAAACATGCACACTAGGTTAAATCCTCCAGCTCCGGTTCTGACCAAGCCGAGCATCAACATCTGGAGACGTGCGCTGTTACTACGGCGACCACTGCTCCTGATGTAAGCCTTAGTGGCATCAGGATGGGTCAAATGCAGAGGAGGAATTGCCCTACGGGGATTAATAAAGTTTATCTTTATTTCTCTGGTCTCTTTTTGTCTGGTGGCTTTCTGGTGTCGCTCTTGGATCCCTTTCTCAGGTCTCTCTCTGGTCTATTTCTCTGGTCTCTCGCTCTCTGGTCTCTCTCTTGCCCCTCTCTCTGGTATTTCTCTCGGATCTCACTGGCCCCTCTCTGGTCTCTCTCTCTCTGGTCTCTCTCTCAGATCTCACTGGCCCCTCTCTGGTCTCTCTCTCTCTGGTCTCTCTCAGATCTCACTGGCCCCTCTCTGGTCTCTCTCAGATCTCACTGGCCCCTCTCTGGTCTCTCTCTCTCTGGTCTCTCTCTCAGATCTCACTGGCCCCTCTCTGGTCTCTCTCTCTCTGGTCTCTCTCTCAGATCTCACTGGCCCCTCTCTGGTCTCTCTCTCTCTGGTCTCTCTCAGATCTCACTGGCCCCTCTCTGGTCTCTCTCAGATCTCACTGGCCCCTCTCTGGTCTCTCTCTCTCTGGTCTCTCTCTCAGATCTCACTGGCCCCTCTCTGGTCTCTCTCTCAGATCTCACTGGCCCCTCTCTGGTCTCTCTCTCAGATCTCACTGGCCCCTCTCTGGTCTCTCTCTCAGATCTCACTGGCCCCTCTCTGGTCTCTCTCTCTCTGGTCTCTCTCTGAGATCTCACTGGCCCCTCTCTGGTCTCTCTCTCTCTGGTCTTTCTCTCTCTGGTGTATCTCTCTTTGTCTCATAAAAATACAGATCTAGTTTCAGCATGTGGGACATGTTTACTTGTATACCAGTCTGTTCAAGGCTGTTCATCGCTATTCACCCGCTGTCCCATTGTCTGTTTCATGGTGTGATGATTTAATTTAATAGAGTTAAAGTTGAAACAACCTCAAGCCTGTTTCAGATAATTACAAACACAATTAAAAGGTCAAAAATGTATGTGTATTGTTGTGATAATAAAATGCAGACGCTGATACAAAAGAACACAGTGAATAACGTAAAATCACCTTCATCTATTCTCGATTATTAGTCATTTTTTTAACTCATATTTAGATAAATCATGTGTTTTTTATTAACCATATACAATTTTTATATAATTAATGTGTAATGAGGTCAGGTCATTGAAAGTCCTTCTTGAACCATGAACCCAGACATCACACAAAAGCAAAAGTCAGAACGTTTAAATGTCGAGCTGCAAAAACTCCGTTTTTGGAAGTGTCTTTCAGAGAAAATGTGGACATGTTCCTTTATCTTAAAAACAGGAAGGTCCCGAGACTAGGACCAAGACCAGGATCTGGACTTCTAAATATGGGAGGCAAAGATGACGCCTCCAGACGCTCCGCTCCTCCTCTCGCACATTTGATATATTTAACTGAATAGTGTCTGTCTGAACAGGGACAGTTATAGCCGGGTCTTATCATACTATCGTACTAATTTCATTTCGTACTAAGGTCTGGATTTGCACCATTGAGCTCCGCTAACAGGTGGGAGGGGTTGACTCCTTTTGCAGATTGAAACGATTGGATCTGAGTTTACAGTGACGTATGTAATGTGCCTGAGTGAGTTAGCTTTAGCATTTAGCCTAGCTTTAGCCATCTCCTTAGCTACAAACGGAGCCCGTGGGGAGTAGAGCCATCTTTGCAGCAATGACATTTACTAAACATTCCTATTGCTACGGCTTCAATTTCTGGATAGAACCACAACAGATTACTTTACGATCGTATTCTCCGCCAAACTACAACCAACAAATTTGGCACAAACTCTTGACGTCGCCGACATTTACCTACAACACCCGGCTTCCGCTCAGTTGAATCCCCGGATTCAACCGAGGAAACCGCAGCCACTGGGATCAGACCCAGACGTACATGTAGGAAATGATAATTGACCGGAGTTTACGGATTGGCTAAAACCAGGCTAGGACAGTTAGAAAAATAGAACGGAGTCGCTGCGGCCGTAAAACAATAGAGTTGATAGGTTTGGCCTTTCGTTTCCATGGAGACGGTGTTTCAGGTGAAAACGTTGGACATGCGCAGTCGTCGAGAACAAACGTAAACAACAATGGCGGCGGGTACGCTAACTAGCTACGTCCAAAAAGCTCTAGTTTCAGCTTCCATTCCCGCAGCTGCTGTTAAATGCAGAACGATGTTGGTTCTTCTACGTCTTTGCGGCGTCTGAGGAGGATTTTGTTGAGGACATGCATGAGTCGTGTTGTAAGGTTTCACTGCCCCCTACTGGCCGAACGCTAGAACTACATTGTTTTCAGTCGTGGTGTAGACTCCGTGCACTTGAATAAGGTCTGGCCTAAGAGTCTTGTATTCATATTTAATTGTAATGGGAATTAAAAGCATGTCTTTTAATTTTTCACGGTAAGAATACAAAGTAAATTCCATCCATCCATTTTCTACCCTTTAATCCATTTCTGGGTCAGGGGGGTGGCAATCAGAGATGCCACCCAAGTCTCATAGCACCAGCCCCTCACTGACCCTCTGCAGGTGGTGAGTCCACAGGAGGACGGCTGCTCTCTGAGTGTGAGCATAGCCTTGATCTTTCAGTGGGAGCTTTTTGGGCAAAGTGGGGTTAAGTGTCTTGCCCAAGGACACAACGACAGCAGTCATCAGTGAGAGTTGGTGGAGAAGGTGCAGAGGTGGGAATTGAACCCACGACCTTCTGGGCTTAAGGCCAATGCTCTACCAACTGAGCTACTGTCGCCCCACAAAGTAAATTAAAAGTAAAAATGTATGTGTACGAATGGCCAACATACGTAGTGTACTGTCCCTTTAAGAACCTCTTCTATACAGTGTGGTAAAAGGGTTAGTGCTTTTGCTCAAACATATACGTACAGTGAGGAATGACAAACACAGAAATCGCGCTTCTCGGAGCTGGGACCGTGTTTCTTTAACCCGACATTCAAACATCTCTTTACAGGAATGAATGTAACGTCAACACGGAGAGAA